CGCATAATACCAAAATATGTAAAAAATATATATACCAAAGCAATCAATTTCATCCACTAACATCATGTTGAAAAATTGTAATACATTGGTATTAAGGGGATCTAATTGTACATTGTTATTAATAGGTTTTCCTAACTATATAACCTAAAAATCCTCCATATCATTGGTTTGCCACCTGGTGTACTAGGCTGCTGTCCACCGGGTATGGATGGCAAGTAATGACTTGAGCATTAGCTGAAACAAAAATAGCTTTTGTTAATCACACAATCAAGTTTAGCTACAAAAAAAATTAAAGTATGATATATTGTCACAAAGATACTTTTTTTTTCATAAGTAGAATGTTGTGACATGAACAAATGAAAATCCTACATTCATGGATTTCAAAATATATAACTGTTTTCAGTTGCAAGAACCTTACCCCAGCTGCTCTAAAGGTGTGACACACTTCAGTAGGATCAAAAGCATACACCACCAGACAATGACAATGAGGAACCAATTTCCTAAAAAGTAACATGTACAAGTCATGAAAATGAAAATAAATATGAATATAAAAGATCGAAGCAGAAAAACTAGTTATCCTGAAAGATCAGATGCACAATATTGTTTTCTCTTTATTCTTGATAATACATATATTCCAAACGGCTATATAAGGATCTGAATAATTCTGAGAAACAAATTAACAATGAATGTACCTGAAGTTTGTTAACAATAACTGACATTACTTCTTCAGATGCTTTCATACAATCCTGGGATGAGGAGTCCCTATATGCCTGGTGAAAGTTCAACATACAGAGAAAAAAGATAAGTGAATTGCATGGGTTCATAAGCATCTGATCTGACAAAACACAAAAGATAGAAAAGTTGATCAATGAACAAATAGGCCACCATCACCTCTGGAAATCCTTAAATCCTTGTCCAAGTTTATTTGGGACACATGGGTAGCAAGTCGGGCAGTTAAAACATTGCAGGGGCACCAAGGGTAGCAAGGACACCAGCTTCAAGTCTATATTTTACCAGATGGAAATCGGTTTGGAACTGGATTAGATGATGGAACCTGTAGACTTTTTGACAACAGGACACCAGCTTCAAGTCTATACTCACCCACAGCAGGATAATAACAACAACACGCCTGATGTTACTTCCATTGCATTCTCCATATCAGGTCGTTTGCTCTTTGCTAGCTACTCTAATAGTGATTGCTTCGTATGGGATACTCTTTTGGCTGAGGTAAATACATATAAATGCAAGATGGTGGGTATGAAATCTGAATGATTGTTTTACTTACAAGTTACATTTGAAATTGAATGAGGGCATGTGGTTTTTGAAAGCGTGTTATTTTTCCATGAATCGCCTCTTGGCCTTGAATTCATTAATATAGAAAATAATTACAATATGGGCTAAATAATACAAGGTAAAGATTTGGGCCTATACTAAAATACAAACATACATAGATGCGTAGATGATACGCTAATACGCCCCCGCAGTTTGAGCGGGAGGTCTTGAGCAAACACTCAAACTGGATATGAAATCATTAAATAACGTGGTCGGCTGTCCCTTTGTGAAGATGTCAGCATACTAAAGTCCGAAGGGAACATGGAGGACACGAACAGATCCAGTAGCAACCTTTTCGCGTACAAAGTGAAGATCAATTTCAATATGTTTTGTGCGTTGATGCTGAATAGGATTTGAGGACATGTAAACCGCACTTATGTTATCCCAATAGACAATGGTTGCTTTGGTGACTAGGGAGTGAAGCTCACTAAGAAGGTTGCGAAGCCAACATGTTTCGGCTACGACATTGGCAACTCCTCGGTATTCTGCTTCGGCGCTGGAGCGGGAGACAGTCTGTTGCCATTTGGATGACCAGGATAGAAGGTTGTCACCTAGGAAAACACAATATCCACTCGTGGAACGACGTGTTGTGGGACATCCCCCCCCCCCAAATCAACATCAGAGTATGCGATAAGGCCCGTAGTGTGGGAAGGATGAATTTGAAGCTCGTAGTCTAGGGTACCACTAACATAGCGTAGTACACGCTTTAAAGCATTCATCTGCGGTTCCCGTGGATCATGCATGAAGAGGCATATTTGCTGAACAGCAAAAGATAGATCCGGGCCAGTGAAAGTAAGGTACTGTAAGCCGCCTGCTAAACTCCGGTATAAGGTAGGATCAGTGACGGGAGTGTCGTCACTATCAAGCTTTGACTGCATGTCTGCCGGTGTCCTGCAAGGTTTGCAATTAGACATATTTTCCCGATCAAGGAGTTCCAACGCATATTTGCGTTGGGATAAAAAAAAGCCTTTTTCGTCCCTGGTTGCTGCAATACCCAAGAAATAAGATAGATCACCTAAGTCCTTCATGGCAAACTCTACGGCTAAAAGAGAAATGGTGCGCTGAAGAAGCTCTGCAGAAGACACTGTTAGAATGATATCATCAACATATAGAAGTAAATAGGCTGCCTCTGAACCCCTGCGAAAAATAAACAAGGATGAGTCGCAGCGACTGTGAGTGAAACCAATCTGAGTGACATAAGCTGCGAATCGCTGAAGCCAAGCTCTAGGATCTTGATTGAGTCCGTAAAGTGACTTTCGCAGATGACAGACATAATCTGGATGAGCCGGATCCCGAAATCCCGAAGGCTGATGCATGTAGACTGTTTCATGTAGTTGACCGTGTAGGAATGCATTTTTGACGTCTAACTGATGAATAGGCCATTTACGAGATACTGTAAGGCTAAGGACAGTCCGAATAGTAGCCGGTTTAACAACCGGGCTAAAAGTGTCATCACAATCAATACCGGGTCGTTGGCTCCTTCCATTTACAACTAGTCAAGCCTTATATCGTTCAAGAGAACCATCAGCCTTATATTTCTTTCTAAACAACCACATGAAAGCATGTTATTTTCCCTTGAATCGCCTCTTGGCCTTGAATTCATTAATATAGAAAATAACTACAATATGGGCTAAATAATACAAGGTAGAGATTTGGGCCTATACGAAAATACAAACATACATATATGCACAATATTGGCGTTAGGAGGCCTCGGAACAAGGACCCATGTTCTATTAGCAATAATAGCATTAAACTCATCCTTCATGGCAATGGTCCAATTTGGATATTGGAGGGCGTCAAGATGGGATCGAGGAAGGGGGGGACTCAGTGGTGGTGTGAAGATTTAGTCGATTAATGGGTTTCCTGATACCCAGGCGACCTCTAGTAACCATAGGATGAGTGGGGGGTTGGGTAGGGTGAGGTTCAGGAGGTGCCTGAAGTGAGTTACGAGGCATGGGGTGTAAGGCGAACCAGTTGTAGGTGATGGAGGTGGTGTGGTGACAGTGTCGGTAAGTCCGTCAGTAGAAAAAGAAGGTGGTGAGGAAGTAAGTAGCTGACGAGAGATGGGAGACTAATCAATAGATTCATCAAAGAATGAGTACGAGGGAGGTTCATTAGGTGTCATGGAACGATAAGGGAAGGAATGCTCATCAAAGGTAACATGTCGGTAAATTATAATTTGGCGGGTGGCAAGATTGAAGAACCGATAACCACGATGATTGGAGGGATATCCAAGAAAAAATAAAAGGTGTGGAACGTGGGGAGAGTTTATGAGGTGTGGGAATATGAGGATAGCATAGGCATCCAAATACACGAAAGTGAGAGTAGGATGGTGTCTTTTGAGTGAGTTTAATGTATGGGATTTCATTATTGATAGATGTGAAGGGAGTGAGGTTGGTTGTCACGGAATAGAGTTTCAAGATTTGTCCAGACCATATGAGCAGTTGCATTTGGATTGAGGATCATGTTCAGGAGACTCTGTGTGACTGTGCCATAAATCCACATTTTGACAAGATCATCAAGGTGTGTCCATGCTTCATCCTTGTCATCAGCGGGTTTGGAGGTTCCGGTGAGATGCCCCTTGACACAAAAACTGCTACAGTGGGTTTGAAATAGTTCCTTCCAGGCATGATAGTTAAGTTGATTAAGATCCAAGATTAATGGGACATAAACTTTGATGTTTGTAACACCACAGGGTTTCCGGTTCTTGGATGAATCAGACATGGTGAGAATTGAAAAGGAGAGAAAAAGAAGACAATGGAGAAGAAGAGATTAGCCGGCGGCTAGAAGGTGCCTGTGGCGTAGGGTTAGCGAGAGAGAGGGAAGATAAAAAGGAAACTTTTTAGTGGAGGTGCTCTGATACCATGAAAGCGTGTTATTTTCCCATGAATCGCCTCTTGGCCTTGAATTCATTAATATAGAAAATAATTACAATATGGGCTAAATAATACAAGGTAGAGATTTGGGCCTATACTAAAATACAAACATACATACATGCGTAGATGATACGCTAATAGTTTTAAATCTTGGAACTCTCCAGAACTCACATGAGGCTCGTGTCAGCTTTCTGGGTTTGTCCGCTGATGGGAGTGCCTTGTGCACAGGAAGTTGGGATACCAGTCTCAAGGTTAGCCCCAAATCCCAACCATCACAAATTTATTTGGAATTGCATGGGTTAAAAGCGAAGATTTTGTTCTTTCACCTGGGATTTGAATCTTAAGAGGAGCTTAACCTGAAATGGCACCTGCTAAACTTGCCACAGCCTCTTGCAAAGGGTTTGATTCATTAGATTTCATTGAATTTTATGGGACAATTTTTTTGTATATGATATTGGTATGTACCATATCACTTTAAATCTATAAAATACCAAAAGTAATGTTTTACATTTTTCAAAAAACTTCGATAACAAACTAGTTTCTAATATCACAAATAAGCTTAGTCATCTAACTTGTAAACTGGTTGAATGGATCAATGTATCAATAATCGTTTTCAACAAGAAATTAAGATCCCAAACTTGCTTAATTCGATAGATTAATTTTTTCCATTCACCGAAAATAGGGTTTGAATTATGGTGACAGATGGTTTCTAGCAACGGTTAGGGGATAATCCCACATCAAAAACGATGTTGGTGAATAATATAAGTATCAAACATAAGGTTCAGAGATTGCTGTACAGCTGACAAATTTATATTTTGGCCAAAAATCTCAACACTTTCCGGAAGGCTTACATTTGACTTTATCTTTAGAGGCCGAAAACTCCCTTCCTTAAATTGTACCTGAAAAGATCATGAAATATTTATTATAGATTTAACTTAATTTTCAACAAAGGGTAAATAGGTCATTTTCATGACAAATTTATAAATTGGTAGATTTTCAAAGTAGAATGTTGAAATAGGAAGAATTAGAAGTCAAAGTAGGATGCTAAGCTATAATAAACAAACGAATGGAAGTCTGTACAATTGTATTGTAAAAAAAAAGGTACCTGGATTCTTGAGGGACTTCTGACTTCAAAGTTTGCAGATGCAGTGGAGGTGAAAGTAGCAAAAGGGGTGGAGAATGTGATGGAATTATCAATGGTAAGGGTGGTGGTAGAGATTTGCTGACAAATCTTGTCAACCTTCAACAATGGAGTTGTGAAGTGGTAATAGCTCAGAAAATGCAGTGTACCTGTTAATTGTTATGCTACCACAAAAACAGAATATGTTTCAGAACACAACAAGGGCAGAATGGGAAAATTAAGAAATTATGAGGAAAATGGTTGGAGAAAGAAGTAAACATGCTTACTAAAATAAATGGTTAATAATTAAGTGAAGAAAGCGAAGTAAGAAGAAATACGTAAATGGGGAAGGAACTTGAAATTACTCTTAGAATGCTTACAATGAGAGAATTCTAAAGGCTTTAAGTAGTATAAAGAAAGGGTGGGGCTATAGAACAATTACAGTTTTCTTATAGTGCGCTTAGGTTATTTATAATTATAATGGCAAGACTTGATGGATGTGGGGTAGATTTAACTTAATTTTCAACAAAGAGTAAATATGTCATTTAACTTGACCTTTAAAGACTCAAGATTCTTGTAACTCAAGATAGGGTCAGGAGAAAGACACAACTAACCCACAGGTTCAACCTTGACTCTCTAATTAAACAATTTTACTCCTCCAAGTGGCTAAATGGAGAAATTTAGATTTCTAAATCTGGAATAAGGGTAATGTGGAACCTTCATTGTAAGTCTTGAATAGCATAGTGATATGTATATACACTTGAGACCCGTAGAGAGAAACAGTTTACCTCTGACATGAAATGGGCTCAATTAAATTGTAAATATAACCCGGATTTTGATAAAACATTAAGAGATAAAAGAAGAGAGAAAATATCTAAGGGATACAATTTCAATATGAGATGAGAGGGCATACAAGAAGGTTCATGTACTGATCAGCATCGAAGGAGGTGGTGTTGATAGTGTCGAGAGTGGCGAATCTTGATATGGTGTTGATGGGAGCAGAAGTATGAGAAGCTCGATAGCAGATCTCGAGTTCTCTTTATCTTATCATCATTTACCATCATTTTTCTCTTTCTCTCTAGTCCCTCTTAACCTCTTAGGGCTTGTAAACCAAAAACATACCTTAATCGTACTTAGGGCTTGTAAAGTTGAGCAGTCGTTGCAGTCTTCGGTGAGGTGAGGTGAGCCCAAGGTCACTGGTGGAAAGAGATGAGCCGATGTCGTTGGTGGAAAAAGATGACATGAGGTTGCCGATAGGAGGTGAGGTGAGGGAGCGAATATTATAGAGAGCACTCCTTGAAAAAGCCCTAGATAATGGTCCTGCAATGACGGGGTTTTCAACTTTTCTAATTTTTTTGGGAATTCCTTTTCCCGCTGCTACTAAAGATGAAGCTGCTAGATGAAGATGCGCGTTTCTTTAAAAAAAAAATAAAGCGACATGATTTCACGATACGCTTTTTAAGATAGGTGTCATCCGCCTTTTTTTACACTAATTTTAGGGAACGCAAAAATGTGCGTCCTAAATCCTTCACATTTTGGAAGAACTGACATTATTTTTAGGGCACACACTTTTGCATATTGTAAAACAGCGCGTGTCATGGTTTTCGCGTCATTAAAGGATATTTTTCTAGTAGTGTCCTCATGTTCCTATACATCAACCTATGATTAACAACGTTCATGTTGGTCCCTTGAAGCAAAAGCAAGAGACTAGTTAGGAAGATGATGACAAGAGACTTTTTAGCCTTGATGTGAAAGCTAGAGCAACCGTAGGAAACTCTCTTCCATATCACGTGTATCATCTAGTACATAATTGTAATTCAGCTCAAGAGATAATGTAGACGTTGACGGTGGCTTAAGAAGGCACTATAGAAGTTCAAGATACAACCACCAACAATCTTACTCGGAGATATGGGCATTTTTTCGCTCAATAAGGTGAATCTCTAACTCAAACCATTAGAAAATTTAATTGTTTGGTGAATGATATGAACGGGTTGTGAGTCGTCAAGAACTCTTCTCATTTAGTTTTAAAATTCTCGGATTCCCTTGGAAAAGGATGGGAACATCATGATGATGTTATTAAAAACAATGAGAAGATCAATCTCATGGATCTCAACTCCTTGTTTGGAAATCTATGAAATTACGAAGAGACCAAAGCTCTTTGTACAGAAATCACGAAGAAATCAAGCAAAGAAAAGTCTGTAGCTTTGGTTTCTCGGAAGGAAGCAATGTATTTGATCAGTGACTTAGATGAATCTGATCAGGGTGAAGTGAGTAGTGAAGAAATTACTAATGAACGTATTTCTAGCGCTACACTTATTGTTCAAGCTGAAAAATGTTTTTTATGTCGGGGCCTGAAAAGCAATCTTATCTCCATTAATCAACTTTATGATGTTTGTTACAAAGTTCTCTTTGATTGCAATAAAGGAAAAGTTTTTTACTCTAAGAACAAAATTTTGCTCAGTGCACTCACGGACAATAACACTTATTTGATTTGATTTTACTTGTGTTAGACAATGTTACTTTATCAATTTAACATTATGCTTGGCTACCTTATATTTTCTAAACATAATCTGCTAAAATTTAGTTCACTATAACTTGTCCGTTTCAAAAATTCTTGTGAAATTTTATTTTACCAAAGGAGTATACATTGTACATTATACTACTAACATTGTCAACGCGTGTTCTTCTCTCTCGCCCTCTAAATAGTCAGGATCTTCTGTCTTCATAATAACATTGATGTTAACTGATTTGGATCAAAGTATCATTCCTTCGGTGCAGCATCTTCTATGTAGAGCTAGTTGCAGCTGGCGCTGCATCTTTTCTTCAGCGCCAACTGCTCTCTCCCTGGCGCTGATGCTCACGCTGAATGATATGAAGCATTCTGTCGATGAGACAAGGTAGGACAGAACTGTGCCAACATATGTTCTTTTGGGCACTTATCTCTTCCTTCTTGAACAACCTATCTATGTTTCAACAGATGTAAACTTTGTTAGATTAATGTGAATATTTTTTTTTACTTTGTGTTTGTTATTTATTATATTTGGTCATTTTTTTGTAATCTTGAACCATTTGAAGGAATATACGCAGAACATGGATGAACTCCATTCAAGATGAACATCATAATCATATAGTATTTTTGCAATCAATAATTTTTATTAAAAAAATTAATTAGAAATAGGGGTGGCACCAATAGGGGCGACATACATCAATAGGGGCGACAACCACATTAGTGATGACTGTTGAGCAACAGCCACACGGTAATAGGAATTAGAAAAATGTCACCCCTATTGCCTTGATTCCTTGTGAAGAGTGTCAAAGGAATTAGAAAAATAATAATGTATGGAAGTATTCAACGCCATAACAAAGATGATGTCTGAGGAGGAGTTTTTGTGTGGATCGAGAACCGTGCATGCGGATGAAAGAGGGACTAGAAATACAAGAATACCATGATTTGGAGAGTGATCTAAACCGGAGGAGGGATTTGGGCGGCAGTCTTGTGAACATTGCAATTATCAACTCTTGGCATAGATAATCTGACATTGTGTAATCCTGAATTTTTGGAAGGAGATGAAACTTCAGTACTGATAGCATGCAATCAAAACCATCTGTGTTTCTATTTAAAGATTTTTCAACAGGATCATGTTTCAGTCAAATCGTAAATTTTCTTAAATAAAATCAAACTAACTTATGTTCTCATCGTAATATCATTTACATCATCCATAAAATGGAAAAAGTAATTGGTTGTGAATGAAACAGGTATATATCGGGCTCTTATATGTTTAGTGAGTTGCTTATTTAGTTGAATATCCTCTGCATACAAATATTCAATAGAAAAAAAAAATGATCGTTGTTATCAACTAAAATATCTAATATACTTTCAAAAAGGTAATTAGGTATATTATATGAATCTTAGCCATCATCACATCAATTAAAAAGGCAACAAAATAAAAACTTGAAGGGGAATCGACGATTAAAATCACTCACCAGAGAAAGGAAGGAGAGGAAGAGTAAACTGATGAGTGATGAAGACGATGCTGCGGAAATCTTGTTGTGTAGCCCCAAAACATCGACGATCGACCGAGTCTTGCTGGGGCTTAATTAGGTTTCATTTGGGCCCAACGTTCCCCCTGTTTCTTCCATGTTTTCTTTTTGTGAATAATGAAATTCTTTTTGTGATAGCATTTTAATGTACTCAGTTTTGAAGATTTTATTCCTTTTTAGATCAAGGTTTTACTTGCCACGCTAATTTCATTTTTGCTCTGGCTTAGCGTAGATCATATTCCCACATCTCCTTCACTCTCCTAATTCCTAAACCTTAGGAAATGATAACCCTTTATTCCTTTAGTTTTCTGTATTTTAAGTAATTATTTAAAAATTTAAATTTTATTTTAATAATACGATAAATAGTAAAGGAAAATCTACGGAAAAATCCATTAGTCCTTGTCTTTTTTTTTTTAATCAATGTAGTCCAAAAAATCAAAATACCAATACATTTTGACCATTTCATGTCGTTCAACTTTCAAAAATTACAGTTTTTGCCCGAATTTAATTTTATTACAGTTTTTTTCCAAAATTTACATTTTTTGGCTAGATTTCAAAATTTATTACAAATTTGGTCAAATAGTTACACTTTTCTCCTAAATTTCAAAATTTTGTTACACTTTTTGGCCGAAAATGTGATTATTTTTACATTTTTTTTTCAAAATTTTATTTCAAATACGTTTTTCTTGTATTATAAAATCATATTTATACAAAAGAAAACATATTTCCACATAAAAAACCTTCTTTTTTCTATATAAAAACTTTTTCTTTAAACATTTTTGTATGCGAAACACATTTTATAATAAATAAATTTATATACAAAACTGTTTTTTTAAAATGTATACAAAGACATATTTTTATACAAATGTATACAAACGTGCTTTTAAAAAAATATACAAATACATATTTGTTTATATTTATGTATTCATATGCATACAAATAGGTGTTTTATTCATTAATTTTGATATATTTTTTTATAAATACCTACTTTATAATAAATACATTTTTATGAAAACATGTTTTTTACACAAAAAAATAAAATAAAAAAAATAATAAAAATTGTACACAAACACATGTTCTCTAAAAAAATAAACAAACACGTGTTTATAAAAAAAATGTATATAAACACATATTTTTATAAAAATGTATACAAACACGCTTTTATAAAAAATATATAGAAACACATATTCCATACTAAAGGTATTTGTATATATTTATGCATTTATATGCATACAAATAGGTCTTTTATAAATTTTTTTTATAAAAACGTGTATGTACACAACTGCATTTATTATAAAATATGTGTTTGTATATTTCTTTTTTTATAAAATACGAGTTTGTATACGTTGTTTTTATAAAAAAATGGATTTATATATATTTATGCACTTAATAAATACCTAATTTTATAAATAGGTATTTTGCATACAAAAATGTTTTTAAAGAAGTTTTTATATAGAAAAAAGGTTTTTTATGTGAAAATATGTTTTTTGTATAAATATGATCTTAGAATGAAAAAAATATTCAAAACAAAATTTTGAAAAACAAAGTGGTAAAAATTAAATTTAGGATGAATTTGTAACAAAATTTTGAAATCTAGGCCAAAAGTGTAAAATTTAGATCAAATTTGTAATAAATTTTGAAATATGGGCCAAAAGTGTAAATTTTAGAGAAAATTTGTAATAAAATTTAAAATCTGGGCCAAAGTGTAATTTTTGAATGTTAGATGACCTAAACTGGTTATGAAGCCTAAATATAATGAATTTTTAATAGATTTTTGAACAAAATTTTTCATTAATTCAAAAGTAAGCAAAATATTACATAAAAATTAAAATGAAATATAACATAATAATAATTTTTTTTGGAAAGGGAACTTCCCTAATGAGGGTTTCCGGGCCAGTTTTGGTGCACCGACTAATCTTCTGATGCAAACATGAGGCTATGCCTCATGCCCTAGAGCCACTGCAAATGAACCTCCATGGCTATAGGGGCAGAGTAGTGCCTAGATTTGAACATGAGTCAACAGGTTATTCATCATATCTTCCACATGTCATGCCAAGTCACCACAACCCTAGTGGTTTAAACATAATTATAATTAAAATAAGCCCAATTGATACATTTTTTTCATAATTTCGTTTTTATCCTTGAAATCATGGTGAATTATTCTCCCGAAAGATGATGGGTGCGTCACATCAAAAGTTTCAT